ATCACGATAATGCATTCTTCGTGACCATTTCGCTAAAAATTCCACGAATATCGTTCCCCAGCCACGGTATTCGCCGGACTTATCACCTTGTGACTTTTGGCTTTTCCAAAAACTCAGGAGACTAACTTCACCGTTTGCGTCCATTGAAGAGTTTATAAGTGAATCGGAGCGCTCTCTGAAGGCCATACCGTATCGTGACTATTTGACATGCTTCGATAATTGGACAAAACGTTGAGATAAGTGCATTGCATCGGCAGGGATCTATTTTGCAAGCGACGAAATCTATGTAGAAGAAAAAATAAAGATTTTTAACTTTACACACAAATTCGCCTTGCTTTTTGCTCACTTTATATCATTGGCGCCTTGTGACCGCTGAAGCGAATTTCGGCCGAGCTCCTCCTCTGATTTGTGGTTTTGTATCTTGATGTTTCTCCAACATATAGAGGGACCTATAGTTTATACCACGCCTCCTTCGAACTGCTGATCTTTTTTTATGAGGAGCTTTATTTCATGTCAGAAATACACTCGGAAATGCTCGTCCTGGCTTTTAGCACCATTATAATGCACCACCTCACCACATCAATTCTTGTGCATGAGTTTTTGGCCAAAAACAACAATCATGCCTCAACCACCGTACTCACCGGACTTGGCTCCCGCTGACTTTTGCTTCGAGGATTGGAAAAAACGCTGCTTTGAAGCGGGCAAGAAAGCTATTGATAAATAAATAAATGAGCTGAGTTAAATTGATGCGGCTGCTGGTCAAAAACTCCAGGACTTAGGCCAATAAGCTCATTGTGACACCGCTGAGGCTCCTGCCTTCACCTTCTAAAATGATCCAGCCATTTCGTGTGGTTTATATAAGCAACGAGATTTCCAATGCTCACTGAGGCCAACTCAGCGAGACAAGTTGAAGATATGTTTCCCATGGAGCTTATGTCGAGCGGATGTCAAGCCTGGACAGTGGCATATGTAGTGCTCGATGGTCTCCTCCTTTTCTTCGTCCCAACAGCTGCGGCAGAAATCGTTAGAGTAAAAGCCCATCCTAATCCCGTGAAATCCCATTAAAGAGTGTCAAGTTATTACGCCCGTCGCTATGTTAATGGAGAACCGGTGCAAAAGGATAAGATGTGTAGATTTTTCGCATCCAACTTCGGCCATAGCTGTCTGTCTCGTCAACCATCGTGCGTCAGCTTCCCAGGTCATTGAGAGTTTAAGCATGTACTTAGCCGTGGATAGAGGTAAACCAGTATCATGTGCGTGTTTTATTGTAGAAGGGTTCCTTCTCTTGCGAGTTCATCTGCCGTGCAGTACTGTAGCTCGTTGAGAGTGTTTCTACAGTTTAAGGCCACTTTTGACGTTGTACCGATACATTGCAGAGATCTGATCGCAGCCTGACTATCGGAGTAAATTGTTACTGATTGTCCTGCTACCGTAAGCTTGTGCAACCATTCCGCGGTTCTCATGCTCATGTTTACTGAAAGCATGGGAGAGCAAACTCCGCAACTCATCCTCCCATCGAGCTTCGACCCGTCTGTGAAGACGGCTATTGCTCCTTTGTCGTGGGCCTTGGTGTTTTCTCACTCGCAACTCTTTGAGATACTTGTGGAAACAAGATTTTCGAAGCAAATACTGGAGGTAGTGTATTCCAGCTCCTTCGAACTTTCTGTAAGAGATAATATTTTTGTATGTCGTATACTGTAATTCTTTCAAGGTTGAATTGCATTCAATCTTATTGCGTCGCAACCCGCTTGTAGCTTCCCGTCCGGGTCTAGGTCTGTACCTCCTGGTAAATAGCACCATCTCGGTTTTATCAGGGTTCACGTCCTCTGTAGCTGAGCGGAAAAGATTCCATCTAGTCCTGGAGATTTGTAGTGTTGGAAAGACCTAATCGCATATTTTACACTTTTATGATAAAAAATGCCGCTGACGTCATTGAACCACTCACTTCCTTCCCGTAAAGTATAGTCGTGTCCGGTGGAACATCTCGGAAAGTAGGTGTTCATGAGGATATCATCATTTGGTTTCTGACCTTCCTTACACAGGCTTTAAAAGATTTTAAGCAAGCTTTATAAGATTGCCTGAAGCCCGTTCTTTTGGCTTTATTATAAATAGTTTCCTGCTTCTTTTATTTAAATGAAAGATTTCAATATTCCACCATTTGGGTCTTTTCTTCCCTGACGGGATAGATAAAAGGCATGAGGCCTCAAAAGCGGCGTTACAGACTTTTGTTTCAAAGTCCACAGCTTCGTCAATTTTCGACGGTGAATCCAGTTCATCGAGTTAAACAGGCCTTGTGCTATGTGTCCCCGCTTTATCAGGTCGTAACGATAAGCGTAACTGCGTGAACGTCTTCCAGTCAGTCCTTTCTCTGTTCCTGTACGCAGCTATTAATGGAGATTAAAAGATATATATAGATGGTCAGAGAAGGAAGGCTCATTGACTGCAAGTCAGTTTCTGATCTGGTCAGAAAGTGAGCTCGAAACTATAGTGATATCAATAACCTTCCTGGTAGAAGTTACATGGGTGGGTGTGTTTCCACAGTTACAAATTTCTAACTCGTTGCCTAAGATAAAATCAGGTAGGGACTCACCTCGGATATTTGTATCGTTGGATCCCCATACCGTGTGATGAGAATTTCCATCGGCTCCAACAAGCAGCGGAATCTTCTTGGGGTTCGCCTCCTTTACCGATTCGTGTAGCCGGGTCGGTGGCAGAATTTCGTTGTGAGCGAAGTATGACGAGAGGATTATCACTCGCTTCTCTCCCAGTTTTACCTCGATGCTTACCGTGTCCGCGTCGCTATATTGAGAAAGAAGAAAATAAGAAAAGTTTTTCTTAATAAGAATACAAGTCCTGGGTCTACCTTATCCCGACGATACCGCTTGATAGGTATCAGAACTCAGTTCACATATTCTGATACCGACAAACCAGGGTTCCTGGATCAGAACTAAGTCCTCTGCTTTCTCGCAGAGGCTCAGAATAGAGTTGTGCATATTAGTTAAGAGTATGTGCACCATCCTAGAGGTTGTCAGGTCCATGACCTCCTCGGTCTTAGGACCTCCTCGGTCTTAGTAGTGTCGTTATCCTCCCCTTCAGTGCCAGATTCCAGAAGCTGGTCATTTTCCATGTTTTCCCAGCGCGTGAAGACCATCCCGACTCGGATACCGAGAGTCCTCTGGGTCACCTGACATACCCGGTCCACTCATGGTGTTTCGGACAAATGCCACAAATTTATCATCTCCTCTTGAGGCGGCTCCATCCCCGGAATCGCTCAAGGCAATGCCCGGGTCACTGGAATTCGCCTCCTTCAGAGCTGTAAGGTTAGTAGACCCGCTGGCGGACTTCTCTGCTACCATAGCATGGTTCTCCCCTCTCTTGTGGACTTTAAGCTTGATGGAGGAGAAACCGTAGCTTATAACTCGCTTATGACGAATCTTATAAAATACTCTTCTTGACCTGGTCAACTTGGGCTATCCTCCGATCAGTGGTGAGTGGCTCCTCATTGCCAAGTTTGATTAGTTCCAGAATATCCTTAGAATCGGAGAGCCCTGCTGGCACCCAAGCACAGGCTCGTGGCTTGATAGGGATCTCGTTCCTATGCACAGCCACCAAGTCTGCCCCAGGTCAAAGCTCTCCACCTCCGCGATAGCCTTTATATAGAGTTTTACCGCTCTATCGTCAGCGCACGCCACAAGGTTTACTTGGCCTTTGTGCCACCCTGCTCGGGATATTTTTGCAATATCCCTCTGAACACCCTACACAGACCCATCAGCACAGATCTGGAGAAATGTACCCGTCCGGGTGCCCCCTGTCTACGACTCCAAGAGTGAACCGCTCCTTGGCAGCCTGGCTAAAGGGTCTTGCAGTTTGGGCTGTCGGCTTTTTATGTGGTGCTGTGGTCCTAGGCCTCTTGGATCCACTCGAGGTGTTTTCCTGAGACTTAGGCCTTTTTGTTGTAGAGAGGGGTTTCTCGCTGCATGAAACTGCCGTTCGCTTCTCACTTACAGCGAGAATGCCAATCGCCCATTTCAGGCTGTCTTTTTGGAGCCCCGTCGGTTTATCGGCCGGGAGCCGCTTTCCTATCTCGATGTGTCCTAACGGAGGACTTGATTGTGTTGGAGCAGCAAGGGCAAGTGACCCAGATCAACGTCCGCCGGTTGAGCGGATCTCAGGGGTTGGAGCTGGCCGCCTTACCCGAGTAGGGTTTTGGGCTGGCCCCTATCCTCTGTTTTACTTTTCTCTGATCGGGCCTGTCAAGATAGGCCTTCCGGGTCCCAGCCGCCGTTTTTGCCCTTCGCTTAAGGGACATGGGTTTATTACCAGCAAGGGGGTACTTTCTCTCAAGGGGCTTAGCACTGGCTGTTATGGATCCCGAACGCTGAAGGGGTTTTGATGTAGAGAGTGGTCGTGAAGGCCCTTTCGGCCCGTCGATGCGGTTCTCGAGGAGTTTTGGAACGTTTTATTAAAGCCGTGTCCAACGGCTGCATTTTCACCCGTGCAGGAATCCGAGGCTGGATTATTTTTATACATTTTGACATCTGGTCCGTTGGTCTCCTACTGAGCCAAGACCTTTCGGTGACCGGAAAAATGGGAAGGGGAATTAAAACAGTCGACTAGGGCAGAGCCCCTTTTCGCAGCATGAATAAATAAATCTTTTTTGAAAAAATTAAAAATAACGATAGTTTTCCGAGCATATATATATGTAAATAAATAAAAATATTTCTGTATGTATATAATATGCGATTTAGGCCGAGTTACTCAATTTGTGAGGTGTGTTGTTACGTTTCTGTCAAATATAGGGAACTACAGCCTATGGACAGCTGATGGAATTTTGAAGGAGTTTTTTTCTTGTCTGAAATACTTGACATTGTGCACCAATGGGGTGGGGGGTGGGTTAGTCGTACCAGGACTTTAGCCACTCGGCTATTGTGGCATTAATTACATAAATAACTTACAAAAATTACACAAGATAATATATATCAAATTTTTATATATCACAGGTTAGAGCGGGTGCACAGCAAATTACCCCTGTTAAAGACGTTGTTAATCCCAAAACTATATCGGAAGACGAGCCCATGGTTTGGAAAGTAAAGCGACGCCAAGATGGTACAAGATATATTGTAAGACGCCCTGCACGAAATCGCTGTATCTTACGTGAACGTTCCATACGTGTTAATACTGAAGAAACCCGAAATAGGGATATATCAACTACTACTGAAGAAGATAGTATGTCCGAGGTGAAAGCGGGAAGATATTGGTCGAGAGAAGAACGCAAAAAACACATTGAACGAGCGCGAGAACGTAAACAACACCATCAGCAACAAATAAATGAGCATTCGAAAATATTACAGCGAAAAAGAGATTATTTAAATTACAAACAGAAGTCAAACAAACATCAATTTTCGGATGACACTACCACCAAAGTTCCGCATTTTAATATTGCTACTTCTATACAACAGCATTATCAGCTGCAATTCAATTCATCTAGACTACAAAAGCAGCTCATATCTATTAAAGAAACAGCAAATGACACTGATCAGTGTAGGACGTCATATGTTCAACAGGCAGAAATATCACCAAAAATTATCAAGCCCGCTTGTGATGGACAACCGAGTCCATTAGTATTAGTACCGTTGAATCAAACTGCTACAAATACTCCAAGTTTTCCAGCTTCCGTTGAAGGCAAAAACATACAAAATTGTGTCTCTATTACTACAATGTAATACTTTACTGTTATAATTTCTGATTTGAAGTTTTTCATTCCATTTCAAGTAAGGAATCTTATAATTTAAAACTTATTAATAACAAAATACACAACTGTACTAGTCCTGTAACTTTTTTTGTGTTTTAACATTAAATTATAATAAACATGGTTTTCTAGAGAAGGCATTGCTAAGCAACAAGATTATTTATGTTCTTTGCTAAAAAATTTTTTATGAGAAATGCAATAATCGACAAACAAAAGTAAGTATCCCCCATGAAAAGATCAGTATAATGAGTTTCGTCGATGGCAATCCCGTATCGTTATTGTAAGTGCAGAGTTCCTTGAAAATAATTTTTTTGTTTTGCTGAAAGGTTATAAATTAAAAATATATATACAATATATATATAATTGGTTCTTTGTAACCGCTGAAGCGGTTTTCGGCCGAGCTCTTCCTCCAATTTGTGGTTTTTGCATCTTGGTGTTTTCCGAAAATCGTTATAAGGTATGTAGAGAATTTCGAAATCGTTCAAATTATCGTTAAGTCATTTTAACGGTCCGAAAATCGTTGTAATTCCCCTATAGATCTTACAATAGCCTCGGTTTGTACCTCAGCATTGCTTACGTCGGCATCAATAAGTGCTTTTGCTGCTTCATGCACTTGAGCTTCTACTTCATCAAGATTATAATCATTTTTCTAAATGACAATATTGAAGACAACATCCAGCTTTTTTCGGTATTCTGATGAATGATTAAGCAAAGCCTTTACAGCAAAGGACACTATTTAGCACGTGTCTGGCAGTCCCCACTTTTATTCGGCCAAACCAGTAGCGCAAAATAAAAAATATCCCGATGCATGAAAGTGTTATATTAAGAGAGAAGTTTCCGCTGCTTTATTTCTGCAAATTCGAATAAATTATCCATAATAATCATTTACTCAAAACACACTCTTCACAAACCTTTCAGCGCGGTTTCCCTATAAAGACATTTCTCAACCAATGAATCCAGATACGCAATGAATTAAATATTTTTTCATAACTAAATTTATTTTAAAGCCATCGCCGGAATACCATTTCATTTGTTATTTTATTATATGCAGCTGTCAAATTATCTTCTGGTTAAGAGCCAATCACCACTCAATGTTGGCGTTAAATTAACCGTAACTTAATTAACAGATGAGCCGGACATTGCGAAAACGAATTTTATGCTACCTTACGATTGAGTTATGATTCAGTGCTTAACCGGAGATGGTGAAAACGGCCCTTAACGGATGTGGTTGAAACAACCAGTAGGGGAATTTTCAATCGTATTATAACGATTTTCGGATCATTAAAATAACTTAGCGATAATTTTACCACTTCGCTATTCTCAGCATGCATTATATCGATTTTCGGATCGTTAAAATGCCTTAACGGTAAGTTTAGCGATATTCTTTACCCTCTTACATGGTATAGCGCTATTCTCTAAGAATATTATAACTAAGCTACGAATTGTTTTAAGTTGTTACCGATGTCGACAAAATACTGTTATTTCATAAAGGTTGAAATAAAGTAAAGTAAATCAGGAAATTGCCTAAGTTATATAAAAATCAAAACAAAATTAAAAACAATATTAGCTTTGAAGCATTTGGCATACGTTTTATCCCAAGATGAGGAGGTATCGTACCCTTCATCCTTGGGTAGAAGTATGCCTCCGGAAGTTGAAAATTGTTTCCACTTGAATGCAAGTGAGTTTTTTGATAGCCAACTAAAAGACAAGAATAACAGCATTATCTACTGAGAAACAGGTAATAATATTACTTCTATATATTTATTTATTATATATTGAATATTAAAATATTCAACCGCCTTGCGAGTATATGCAACTGTATGCTACCACGGTCTCGTCGGAGAACAATTGGAAATAGCCATGAGCCATTCGTCAGTAAGCCATTGTATTCACTGCGTGACAGTAGCAGTCAACCTTTCAATGTTTCTTGCGAAGGTTAGATATCCCATTACCTCGCCATTTGCTATTGGGGCTATCGATTGCGAAGAAGCCTATGCCAACCTTCATGGATACCATTCGACCAACGTGCAAACGGTGACAGAAAATTTTTTTAATTACTATTGAAGTAACAAAGTTTATTATATTTTTTCATAAATATGTGATCCTTATCGCAAGATTATGGCGGTAAATGCTGAGCACCCAAGAGCTCCTCTACAGAGCGAAGAGTCCTGCAGGAAAGTACAAACAAAACCGGTTTTTGATTTGATAAACTTTGTAGAGCATTGGTATTAATTTAACAAAAATAAATTCAATAACGAATTTATTTTCTTTTTTTTTATTCTTCTTTGTGCTTTTCGCATTTTTTGAGGTTTTGTTCAGCTATGATGCCACCTTTCTTTCTTTTTAATAAATTGGAAATGTGCGTTGTCGATTATCGTAAAAACTGAGTTAGAGAATCGCATAATCGTTAGCGTAAGCCACATAATTCGCAAGGTTGTGATCCGACAAAGCGTGTTGATAAAAGTTACAGATCTGCACTACAGGGGTGTTAGAGAAACCGACACAGAATTGCTTATTCATCGGAATTTACAATCAATGGGTGCATTCAGCCAACTGAGCGATCAGTAAACATGTTGAGTTAGCGATTTTACTGAGACGTTAATATTCATGAACGCAATGCTACTTCAAATGTCAGAACGACCACATTAACCGCTACTTCAACTGCAGAAGCGACAATCCAATTGTGAAGTTAAGTTTAAGCAATGGAAAACTTTGCTATGCACTATTATTTTAAAGTAATTATCTTAAAAATTATATATTTACAAATTTTTTTTTGTGTTCCCCAAACTGGTCATCTGCATAAAAATGTTTGGTCCTTTCTTTTAAACTTCTTTCTGTGAAAAACGGTTTATCTAGTGCAGATGGCACAACTAAATCTCTTTGACAACCAAAAAAATCTAGTAAATTGTCGTCACAAGCACTTTCTAGTAAACATACTTTTAAATTTTCGCTATTAATTTTTTCTGTATATAGCAGTTGACCGATCAGTAGCTAGTATAAAAATTTTACGCTCACAAGCAGTAGCTGGTATAAAAATTTTACGCTCAGAAATATCAGAGAACGTAAATACAATGAGAAGGTCATTCAGTTCCGCTTTGCAGTTGACGCCAGTTTTCTATGGATGCATTTCACCCCAGATTTCGACGAGCGCTTTTCACCACAATTTAACAGAAAACCAGCAGAATTGTGCTCAAAAAAAAGAATGAGTACAATAATGAGAGTTTCCATGCAAAATATATGTAAAATGATAAAAACCTATTGAAGATAAATGTAAACATGCATACATGTATTATCAGAAACTTTTGATTTCAATTTCTGTTTATTTGCTTATATTAACATGCAAATTTACAAATTTTTGTAATTTACTATTTTATTTTTGTTTACTTACACATTTCAAATTTTATACTTACTATTTTTAAAACATAAAATAATGTCAGTCATGATAATACATACAAAAGACATAAAAAATCATATTTGATTAAATTTTTTCATATATTAATTATTTTTGGGGTAAATATCGAAATAAGTAAACAGCACACACCTCCCCGCATGAGACTCGCCAACAGGCCAAAGTGCCACAAATTGGAAGTTGAACAAATTTGTGTCTTCTTCGACAACAGCAAATCTCGCTCTCGATAGAGTGAACTTTTTGTTTAGATTTACAAAATGTATTTAACATGAATACCAAACAAATTTTCAAAAAAGTGTCTTATTATATTTAAACAAGAATTTTTTCATTTAATTTTTGTTTAGCAATTCGAGAAAATCTAAAATTTAATTTAAATTTAATTGAAGAATTAAATAACTATTTATATACAAATGACGCCTGTAACTACTAAAACTTCTTAGATTATTGAACTAATACATATTCTAATTATGAAAAATTTAGGAATATAATTTAAAGAGGTTAATTAACTTAGGATAATTATAGATTTCAATACAAATTTCAAATATTTGAAGTTATATACGAATCAATCCTATAGCTGCTGTCTAGCGACTGATATATTCGTGGTATACAAAGTTTACTGTACCAGAAATGCCAAAAATATGAAATCTAGCAAAATTTTGTGATCGTCGCGAAGAAACCGCTTGTGGATGCCGGGGTATAGAAGCAAGGGCTCGGGCATTATTAAGATTGTGTGCGTTTTGCGTATAAATATTAAATTGCTTGCATGTATGGGTTTTTATTTTGCGTGAGTTCAACATCAATTTTTCGCTGTTTGCTAAAATTTGACTTCGACTTGAGGAAACTGTTTGTTGATGAAGAGAAAGGGGGCTTACTCGTCTTCATTGAAATCAAACATTCTAGAATGTTCTAGAGTTTTCTAGAACTTTTAAAATATTATAGAAATCCTCGCCACAATTCTTCCTCTTGCGGACAAGGTGCATGCGGGAAGGCGAAGAAATTGCTTGCTGGGCAATATGAGCTAACAGGCGAACAGCAAATTTAGTAGCACGATGCCTATTTGCTTCATTTCTGCAGAAGATGATTGAATTTTGTCAGTGGCAAGAGTTTGAAGCAATGCTTGTGGACGACACATGAATGTTAAGGGTTGAAGGGGTAGGGCATGCTTTGTATGTATGTTGATATTGCTTTACTTTTCGCGACCATAATGATTTTGTGTGTTTGTGTTTTTTGGCACTTCTTCGCGAAGCAACTTGTTGGTATGGCGCGGTGCTATTTATATATGAACGCACTTTGCTTTGTTGTAAGGCGCAGGCGTCTATGAATGAAAGTGTTATTGTTGTAATTGATTTTAGCTTTTGGTCGATAGAAGTATTTAGAGGGAAGTATTTAGAAGCGCTCGTGTGAGATGTCTCTGATTATTTTGGTAAATATTGGTCGGGGAGGTGGCATGAAACAAGGTGTAATGGTCCTCATAGCAACACGCGCACGATGAGAATATGCTAAACAACGTGAACAATACTTATGCAACCAAATCAGGTGGAGTCGGCGTTCATAATTGGCGTATAGAAAGCGCCTACATAAACGAAGAGGGTGTGAATGATGGCACACTCGGCATTTTGATGATTTTTGCGGTTGGTTCTTGGCTGGTTGAGAACATTTTGGGGGAAGATATTAGCAAAACCAAGGGTGTTGGAGAAGTTGACGATCACACTTTTAGAACTAATTTGGTAGGACAACTAATTTGACAATACGCCGTGTTATCATCCCCTTCTACGAATGAATATCCGCTTCTCTAACTCTCTGATCGTGGCTATGGTATACTTTTGTTACTCTGCCTAAGAGTCGCTCATTTGGGATAAGATTTTCGTGTCGAACTACTACCATGTCGTCGTTATTGATATCGTGTGGAGGAAACTTTATAACGCTTGTAAAGTTCTTTCGAACACTCTTCTTTCCTTCGAAATGGGTGTGGTTGGCTAAGAGCCTTTACTTTCTGTCACCGATTTATTACGGAAAGTGAAGTCGTTTCGATTTGAGGCTCCGCAGGTGCAAGAATGAGACCAACGACTAGAAAATGACCAGGTGTTAGAGAAGCACAGTCTGTAGAATCCTCTGAGATCGGAGGAATAGGTCTGGAATTAAGGCAGGCTTCTATTCGACAAAGAAAAGTTTGGAATTCCTCAAATGTAAATCCAAACAAATTGGCTACTCGTCGAAAGTGAAACTGTAAGCTTTTGACTCCAGCTTCCCATAACCCGCCCTTATCCGGAGCACATGCTTGAATGAAGTTCCATGTATGCTCTTGCTGTATGTACATATTGCTAACAGCTACTTGAAAAGTCAGTTTTTAAAGTTCTTTTTAAGGACACGAACCTGGAAAAGGCGCTAGGAGGGTTTCTGTTGAAAGATCGCTTGTTGGTTCCAAGTGAATTGCTTTCATTGAAAATCAGACAAAAATAAAAACGTATCCCTTTGCAATTTCGCAAGCTCTGCCAGTAAAACTTTTGATTTCGAAGGGGCCTGCGAAGTCTACACCTGAATTTTCGAACGGCCAGCAGAACTATTCTTTCCTCAGGCAGTGCCGCCATAAGTTGGAACTGCCCTCTTGTTTTATGAATAACACATATTTTGCAACTACTAATGATATGCTTTATTAGATTCCTAACGTTTGGAATCCGATACTGCTGACGTATCAAACTTAGGATTATTTGAATAGCTCCATGAAGAATTATATAATAAATAAATGAAACCAACAGCTTCGAAAATCTGCTGTTGTACGATAAAAGAATCGGGGGTTTCTCGTCGTACGTTAACATAAGAAAATTCGTTAGTCGGACCATTGAATCCCA